GGAGCGGACAGGCGTGGTTCTGGCCACCCACCCCGTCGTGTGCCATTCCGGCCTTCATAGGTGCTCGCGAACAGCACTTGCCTCAACAGTCTGTTAAGACTCTAGGGAGGATCTTTGTTTTTGGTTCTCGAAATGGACAGATGGTTTCTGTCGTCGTCGCTGCCTTTCACAGCTGGTGGAAACAGCGGCCATAGACAACAGCCGAGTTTCTCGTGGGGTTCTGGTGTTGGCTTTGAGGGTTGATATATCGAATGCGCTTCTCACACGTGTGTGTGGTTTATGGTGCATCGTGGGGAGTGGTGGTGTAGTGGCTATCATGCTGTGCAACGAACCCGAGGACCTTAGATTCCCGCTCACGGCCAACACCACCAGTGACGATTATCCGAACCGGTCCTGGGCCTCCCCTGAGGTCGACTCAGCCTCAAATTAGTACCTGGTGCGGTGTGTAAACATCGCTACTAGGGAGACAAAAGTGGTCAGACATGGTGCTTGCCACCCACCCCCTCGTGTGCCGTGCTGGCCTTCATTGGTGCTCGCTAACATCACTTGCCCCAACAGTCTGTGAAGGCTACACGGGGGATCTTTGTCAAGAGCTTGTCAAGTGTGCTCAGTAATTAAATATTGAAAGTGGCTCTGGTAAATACAACGTGGGAGGGGGGAAGAGTGAACAAGAAATAATGTCTAAAGGTGAGGAATTGAAATTTTGAGTCGCCACATAATCGACATCTGCAGCTGAAGAAGCAGAAGTAGCCAACCTTGCCTTTTTATATGTTGCGGAAATAATAGTCCCCTTTCACGTTCTCACTGTAACTTTCACTTAAGCAGCATGTATATAATTTCTTAAAACTAGACCAAGATGAACGCAGCATCGTCATCCATTAACCTCAACGACACACCTATGATGCTCCAGCAACAACAACAACAACAAAACATCTTTGCACGTGAAAACAAAAATAAACTCGTTCTGCATCGCAAATCGGTGATTGACAGTGACCACGAGTCTTGCCCCGTACCTTCAACACGAAGGTGTTGTCATCAGCGAGGTACGTGTGCACGTTGGAGCACGTGCGGGTGTACTTGCTCCGCCACCAAACCACCGGGTGACACACGAGCACCTTGTCCCGGTCGGACTGCCTGGGCGAGCGGGTGTACCAGTTCACGGCCATGTGCTCGCTGCTCGGGGTCACTTTACAGCTCAGGGTTGCCTCCCCCGCCACCATGCTCACGTCCACCACCACTTGCAGAGCTCCACATTGCCAGGCTGAAACGATTTTGCAAACAAAATTGCGAAATTCATCCAAGCCTGGGCTTCGCCACTCACTGCTGCAGGCATCTTCAGCTCCTGTAGGTGCCCAGAGCAGCAGCAAAGAATGCCAAAAGATTTGATAGAGAAAATGCACAATGTGCCACCCTACCCGGACAGATGACCACACTTGGAATGCGGAAACGTGCCTGTTAAATTTACAGCATCATATTTGGCTAAACGTTTGTACACATCTACCTGATGATACAATTGAGCACTTGATGCTGTTGTTTCCCATTAATCTGCCACGATCAGGGAAAAGACGCGGTGTGGCAGATGAAGGACTGTGTCTAAATAGCCATGAAACCAAAATATAGCGTTTATTAGGAACTGAACATCTTTTTAGTTATCCAGAGTCGACTAAATGTGATGCCCAAGAGAGCACACACTAGGAATTGTTTAGATGTAGAGTGGCTTAACAGTCGTGCATTATACACAGGCTGCACAAACAACCTCTGGACAAATGTATTTAATACAAAAAGGGCAGAGTTAGCATTGCTGCTTTATGTGACAAAATAAGCAGTCCGCAACACCTTTTACTTAGCGCTCGCAAAATCATCGCACTGTGGGGATATTAGGCCACCCGCAGTGATCACTGTCTTCTAGCCAGGCGAAGGCCCATCGAGACGGGGCATCTCTCATTGCCGTGGGATGCCTTTGCAAACCACATTGCAAAGAGAAAAACATTTACCATCTCAAATCAGCAAGTCCCATTTGTTCTCAACAAAATTATTATACGAATTTTGTTTTACCTGCCAGGAGGCACAAAGACAGCAGTTGTGTATCAAGTCGCAGCCACATCCTTCTAGTTTCCTTCTTCTGCAAAGCTTCTGGCGACGCCACGTCCCTCACCAGTGTGAGCAAGCACAGCGGCCACAGATTGTGCAACTCTCATGACACTCGCTGGCGAGACGACAAAGGCCCCTTCCTGGTTCACGTTTTATTTCAGTTGCGTTGATTGGGGAACTGAGCACAGTAAAGTGGAATTTGAGCGAAAAGCGGTGTTATCCATTCCGGTACCCACATGATCGCATATTTTTAAGCGTAGGTGGTACAGCCCTGCAAATTGCTCACTCGTACCACTGCTGGCAGCAGGGCCTCCACTAGAGGGAGTTCTGGCGAGCCCCTTTTGGAGGGTATTTTTGAACAACTATTCCACGAAATACTGTATCATGACAAATATGCAACAAATGCATCAATAACACTGCCCTAAAAGGAAAACAACTATATAAGAAGCAATGATTCTTCATATCAGAGAATACTTTTAAATAGTGTGCATATCTTAGGTGAAATGTTATATCTTTAATCCTCATCGATCATTGGCAAACTGTCACTTCATGCTTTGTATTTGAGGTTTCTTCTGACTTGCATAACAGGCCCACCTTGAACGATATTACTTTTCACAGATCTTATTGAATGTGCATTATATCTAATGAATCAAGGTTTGTCTTCTAAAAAGATGTTTAGTCTCAGTTTGATCTCACCTGGTCTGGACTTAAGTACAGTAATTGAATTATTGAAATAGAAACAATTACACTATGAGACCTCCTTTACCAGTGGCAAAATATAGTAATAGGTTTTTACCCTTTCAACTGGTACAAAAGGTGTCAGTTTTTGTACCAGTTGAAAGGGTAAACACCTATTACTAAAAACAATTACGTCAATTATATTTACTTCAATATTAAATGGATAGGGAAACCGTTTGAATAATTGAGCCTACGTTTGCAAATGTTGACAGAGGTTACTGGAATGAATATGCAAGAAACGTATGCTTTGTGCTTGAACTTGTACATCTCAAAGCTGTATGGGTCATCACCTTCAGATCGTATCCGTGAGTGAAAAACACTTTATCTCTCTTCAGGTGTGGGTTTAATGCAGGGGGAAAACAGAGATAGGTAATTCCAACTCCACGCTGTCATCCCCAGAGGGCTTAGAGTGCACCAATGATTTTAATCTCACCTAAACAATAACCCTAATCCCACACAGCCAACAAGTCTAAAACCCCTAATCTCTCGCAGACTCCCTCTCTCTCACCTCATGGCCCGGTCAGAGGCGGTTTGGTTCCCGGGGCAGCTCTGCAGGGAGGCTTCCCACTCTTCATAATTTAGTTCTCAATATCGGAGCTTGTAACTCAATCACGCGGTGGCGCCGTGGGCCCTCGGCACAGCAGGGGCTCCTGGGAGTTGACCCCGGCCGCCCTTCCCTCGACCCAGCGGCGCTGACCCCGAAATCTCCCGGGACCCATTCCACACCCTCCCACAATTCCTCCCACTCTGCCGCCACCGCTCCCCCTCGCTCCCCTCCCCCATCTCTGTGCGTGTTTTATCTACACTGCTTTATCTAGTAAAACGGGCACTTTGCAGTGTAGGGCCACTGCTTGTTTTCGTTTTGTTTCATATATCTTTTAAGCATATACTTATTATCGGTTGTTATAATACACAGGAAAGCCTAAGTTAGTAATATTTTTTTTTAAAGACCGCTCTGCTTGGGTTGTTTGGCCAAACCAATGTAAGTGCCGTAATGGTTCTTGATCAAATTTAGATTGAGAATGATTAGATTTTAAATTCAGCATAATTGCTATTTTGGGATATGGACACTAATCAAATAAATATATCACGTCTGAACTCCCTCTGACAGCAACAATGACAACTAGGAATGAACATAACAGATCTTTGCCTGAACATTTAAATAATTTTATGCATGGCCACTAAGTTACTATTATTGTCATCAGCTGTGTAGACAAGACAGTCATAGTCTCTGATTGTTTACTGTGGGTACTCTTTGACTAAACACACGACATTTAAACAGAGAGATCACGAGTGCTGAGAATGTAAACATCGGTTTTATGTGAGAAATGCATTTTCAGTCCGAGCCTGGGATTCAAACCGAGGGTGGTAATAGTCGATGCATGTGGGGTATTTTGTATTTTGCCCTATGTATGAGAATAAATGTGCCCTATATGTCCGTGTATGTATTTACAATCTGTACAAATTTACGGTTGCTTTTTATAGTTAGAAATTTTGCACCATATATTCTTGCACTTGTATTAATCATTGCGTTTTCCAAGTTTTTTTTCGCAAGATACATGTTTAATTGGCTTCTGAGCTGAGTTATAAAGGTCTTAGCTATCATATTCAAGTAAAGGACATCGTGTTTTATTGCCTGTTAAGAAAAGTAAGTGGGGCTTGAGTAGGACACGGTTGACGCTTTGGGCTGGGCACGACAGAAGGGACGATGGCCATCAGTCGAGACTAACGATTGAGTGGCAGCCAAAGGACAGAATGCAACCCAGAGGACATCTACCATAGAGATGGAGTAATGAAATCAGATCACGTGCAGGAGCTAAATGGATTAATGTGTCGAAAGACCGTGAGAGATGGCAATGGCTTGGGGTGGTCTTCATCTAGCATGGGATACATCACGGCTGATGATAATACCTATCTACTCACCTGCCTACTCACTCCACTTACAAACCCATCCACACAGCTACCCACCTACCCATCCACTGGCAAACCTACCTAATAAATCTTCCATGAACCAATCAACCAGCAGCCACAAGAGACAACTGTCTATATGCCCCTCATTACTCAAATCACATTTCTTAAAACCTGTCCTGGCTCTAGATTGACTGCGCTCTAATATCTCATCTTTTACTCGCATCGCCCCTCCCCCCTCCAACGCCACCGTCCACCGCCAGGCGGCTCCCCCCCGCGCCGCGCCACGGCGAGCGCTACGGTCACGGTGCTGCTGCAGGACGTCAACGACAACGAGCCGGGCTTTGTGGGGCTGCCGTACGCGCTGCAGGTGCTGGAGGGGCTGCCAGCAAACTCGACGCTCTTTCAGGTGAGGGAAGCGGTGGTGGCGCACGTGGCCTGTTGGCCCAGCGCTGGCAATGGCTGGCTTCCCACGGGTGTCGAGGTGTCATGCCCTGGCTCACCAGGAGAAGTCGGCACAGCAAAATGTGGACTCCACCTGTTCCACCTACATGGGATAGACTGTTTACTCCTCGAAGCACGGGTTTTCTCCAGGTACCCCGGTTTCCTCCCACATGTAAACACTAATTAATTGCCCAATAACATCTTAATATATAGAGGACCAGAGAGCTTGGTGGATTGTTTGTGCTGGCTCAACACGCGGCTGCTCTCCTGCTCGTCTGTGGTTCCTGCTCGTGCCTCTGAGCCATGCCTCTCTCTACAAGGGTGAGCGGGTACTGTGTGGCAGCGGTACGTTACGAGTTGAAATGATTATGACTGAGCGGCGCCGTGTTCACGCAAGCTGCAGTGAGCGTGCAGAAGTGCCCCCCCACCCATTGCTCTCGAGATCCCCGAGAGTTTTCCACTTCTTCAATGAGAGAATCACAAAAAAAATCACAATTGAAAAAATAATCACATGCCCAAATGCCCAAAATTCCAAGTCGCCACCAGCAAACAGTGGTGGTAAAGTCGTCATTGGTAAGAGTTTATGCATTTCTTGAATTGAGCATGGTCATTCTAAGAGCTTGGGGAGAGACGATGGGAGGGAATTTCAAAGTGGAGCAGTACAAGGAAAGAATCAGAAAGAGAAGCAGTGTGGGTGGTCGAACACCGGATGGATGAGACGAAACGATCTGGTAGACCGGGTCCTAAACACGGTTGGAGGAATCAATGCATGACATTCATGGCAACAGTAATGGCAGCAGCAATAGAAGAGTGGGAAGGAGGTAACCGACTGTTCATGACTGGAATTATTCAGTGAGTTCTGAATCATTGATCACCCTGACTGCTCTACATTGAATTCCATCAAGTGTAGTGAGGTAGGAACTAGGTGATCCACTCCAGATATGATAACAGTATTACAACGTTGTCCTGATTTGTGCTTTATAGAGGAGTAATATCATTCGGAGTTTCAGAAGGCTTTGGCATGGGAAAGAAAACCAAGCTTCTTTGATGCCTCCTTAGTCAGTGTCAGAAGTTAAAGTTATGGGGCCTGATTCACGGCCTACTTGCATACATTTATCAAAGGCTAAATACCCAGAATGTACTTTTCCTAAGCTCGTCTTTTAAAGGAGAGAACATGCCTTAGAGGATGACCACCATGGAGACAAAGCGATGAGGTCAGCTCATGCGCAGGAGGCCACTGTTCAACAGTGGAATGAACATGACCGACGTCCAAATCAATGCTGGAGCTTGATTTTAAAAAAGCAAAAAAATGTTATGACAAGGGCTCTCTGCTCACCTGATATTTAATGCGAGGGGCAAATTTCCCAACCTGATTTGAAATAAGCAATGGGCACCAGTGACATGTAAACAATGCGTGAGAATGGTCTATTTCATATTTATGTAATCAACTGCAAATTAGCAGAGTTAGCTACTTATTCTGTGTTCTTAATGTAAACATCACTCCTTGAAATGTAATTAGTCAAGTGTTCCAAGACAATCAAATAATCTTGACCATCAGTTATGCTTTTCCAGATAATTACTTAAGTGCATTTTAGGATCGTGTATTTATTTTAAAGTGTTGCTCTTTTTGTTTTGCTTTTGCAATTCAGTGTGCAGCCGACATGTGTTTTTAACCTGCAGAGTTAAATGCATCCACTTTAGAAACACACTTAATGAAACAAAGATTCCTAAAGGCACTTACATTTTACCTTTCTTGTGTAGTGACTGATTCAGAGACACTAAGAGTAGGAGGCACTCTATTTAGTAACAGCCTTCACGGTCCACACAGAGTAACTACAGCCCCCAATCAGGACAGCTGGCAGACTGCCTGACTGATGATACCGAGCAGATGAAGATTGCGGCGAAGACGCCAACAGCACAACGAGATCCCACTCCAGGCAACAGCCCCGACCCTTCGCTCGGGGTCCCCTTTTATCCTCCCAGTGTGGCCTCCCTCCACCCTGGCCACGCCCCACCCCGGCCACGCCCCCCTTCTAGAACCTACTAGCAGGTTCCCGGGCTTCCCTCTCATGCCCCCTCTGTAACCTTTCCCCTACATCCCTCTCTCTGGTTTATCACATGACGCATAGAGGAACAACAAGACCTACAACAACCTCCATCCCCCGCGTAGCGGAACAACAAGAATAATAAACAACCGGGACAATTAACAAATTCCGACGAGAACTCACAACAATGAACCTGGCCCCCAGGGATAGACCGTAAGCGTGCCACAGCCCACAAGCATTAGGAAGGACCTCAGATCAACTGGCAGTCACATCCCGGCTCGCGTCTACGGCCACCCGCCAGATGGTGTCGGGACTAATAGAACAACAGAAGGGGCGGGCTATCGGAATTGAACAGTTTTGGAATGGGTCTTCATCACTGGGCCACTAGGCGGGACAAGAGTGGGCTTCCTGGGGACCCCTGGGACGATATCTAAATGGCCTAATGGGCATGGTTCCTCCCAGCATGAAGACGAAGGGGAAGAAGAAGAAGCGGATGGCGACCGTTCCATCATCCTTGGTCCGTCTGTGGACGGTGCCGCCGTTGGGTCCACGGGTGTCAGGTGCTGGGATCCTGCAGGTTAAACAACGGAGTCCCACTGAGGCTCACCCTCCACGATCGTTCGTCCGGGCTCGTCGAGCGCATCTGACACCCAGCCCTCAGGTAGTGGGGATGAAGCGACATCACAAGGTGGAAAATAGGGTTTCAGCCATGATGGGTGCACATATCAGCACCTGCGACCGACATAGATACGTACTCACTGCGGCCTCCTGACCTCAATCACCTCAACAGGGCCCTGCCATGGCCGGTGCAATTTAGGGGACATGCCCAGGGGCACCTGGGGGCAATGCAGGATTGCCTTGTCCCCATGGGTCCATGGGATTCCGGATCCATGGAGTCTCGAAAGCTTTTCATTGGCAGCTTTCCGTTTGACCAAATTTCTCCGAGACACCTCCTGCGTCTCTGTCAGCTGCCTGATCGTAAGCTGCATGGGCATAGCGACTGTCTTTTTGCCCAGGTCCATGCTGAACTGAGCCTCCACGGGGGGATCACATTCCCTCCCATACATGAGGGAAAAGGGGGAGAACCCCATTGAGGCGTGAGGGGCCATTCTGTGCGCGACCAGAACACCCGGAACGTGCAAATCCCAATCAGACTGTGCCTCGTTAACCTGTTGGCATAGCATGGACGTAAGAGTCCTGTGCAAGCGCTCTACCATCCCGTCAGTCTGGGGATGGTAGGGTGATGTCCCGATCTTTTTAGTACCCAGGAAGTCATACACCTCCTTTAATCATTTAGAAGAAAAATGATGACTTTGGTCTGTAAAGAGACGTTCTGGGACCCCATTGTCCGAAACATACTCGTGTAGGAATGCATCTGTGATGGATGCGGCCGACTGATCCGACAAAGGCCATGCCACCGGCCACCAGGACAGGTACTCTACCCCGACGAGCAGTCATTTATTTCCCCTCTGAGTGGTGGGAAATGGGCCGAGGTTGTCGAAGGCAACGAGCTCATTAACACGGGACACTTCGATGGATTGCAACGGTGGCTGGGCCTGCCTCGGTGGGGGCTTTCGGCGAGCGCATTCAACACAAACCTTGAGCACGTGGTACACATCCTCCAACATTCTGGGCCAAAAGAAGTCGCGCTTCAGGGTCAAAAAGGTTTTCCGCACCCCAAGGTGCATCAACCTCACATGGACAGCCCGTGTAACTCTACCCCGCAGAGCAGTCGGCACAACGATGCAGTAATGCCACACTTCCTCATCCCACCTCATCAGGAGCCCATCACGAAGGACTATGAGGGGCATTCCCGCTGGCACCTTCCTACCACCCCTCGTTCAGACACAATGCCGTAATTTTAACAAGGAGACATCCTCCACCTGGAGGCGGCCCCATTCCGTGTGCATGAGACCAATCGTGTTGTCACAGGGAGTCGGTGCCACGGGTGGTGGAACATCAACCGACACTACGACAGTGCATGGCAATCCTGCAACCACAGGTTTACATCGGCCAACACCCATCAAACACACACAGCGGCTCCTCGGCGGTAACCATGACAACGCGTCCACATTACAGTGGTGTGCATCTTTCCTGTAGGTGACCCTGAGGGAATAATCCTGCAAAATTTCCGACCAGCGGGAGAGCTGGCCGGACAGCTGGTCAACTCGCAGCGCATATTGAAGAGCCGCGTGGTCCGTGTGCACAACAAACTGCCTACCATAGAGGTATGGCCTGTACTGCTCTACAAAATGCACAATAGCCAACAATTTGCAGCATGTCACACAATAACGCTGCTCTGCGGGGGACAGCACACGGCTCCCATAAGCTATGACCCTCTCTGCTCCGTTCACCACCTGCGACAGCACAGCGCCGATTCCAGTGTCGCTGGTATCTGTATCTAGCAAAAATGGCAGAGAGAAATCGGGGTACCCAAAGGGAGGCGCGTTGGCGAGGCTGTCTCGCAGTGCGACAAACGCGGCCTCCACCTCTTCCCCTCATCGAAATCTCTGCCCCTTTGCAATGAGGGCATGGAGCGGTTTAGCGATTGTCACGAGCTTGGGTATGAAGCGGCGGTAATATGACGCAAACCCAACAAAACTACGGACTTCACCCACTGACGTGGGGGTCGACCATGTGCACATACACGCAGTTTTTTTCGGGATCCGTGGCGATCCCGGACTCGCTGACCATGTGACCCAAATAGCGAACCGATGTCTGCAAGAGATGACACTTTTGCGGCTTAAATTTTAAGATTGCCTGCCGGCACCTTGACAAGCACTGATCGCAACCGCTGCAGGTGTTCCTGAAACGTGCGTCTGAGCACGATTACGCCATCCAAATAAATGAGGCACGGGTCCCATTGAAGACCTGCTCCATAAGTCACTGGAACGTGGCCGGAGCCGAGTGAAGTCCCATC